ATAACCAGATGTTCTTCCAAAGATCCTCCTTCTACTATGCGATGAGAATATAGCCTCTACTTCAGATGTAACTTGTTTGTTAGACTTTTGGTCATGCTCAGTTGCTCAAACTTCAATCATAATGTAGCTGCCGTTTTCTTCTTCAAAACATCCCGAAGAATGTTGTTAGATAGATGAAGATGAATCTATGAAACTGCCTTTCGATCCTTCTGTTACTTCTCCTTTGTTGTCCAAGTTATGGGTATCTTGTCAAATCTCAACAATGCATAAACCAAATTCATCTATGCCAAAACGGCTCGCATCTTCACTTGCCACAATGAAAATATTGTATTGTGAGCCAAAAGCGAAATTTCATACTTCATGGCTGCCATCGATAACAGAAATCTCAAACAAAAATTACAACCAATAGCTTTGATACCACTTGTTGAGGAAAACGAAGAGGTAAGTATGACACGATATGAAGTATTGATCACATAAGTAAAAACAAGATTAAAGCAAGAAGAGACTGGTAGAGGAACCAAGTAATTTTATTAATGACAACCAATGGAGAGAAAAATATAATATAAGCAATACATAAATTAGAAGAAGATTCATATATATATATATATATATATATATATAGAATTCAAGCTCTAGAAGTAGAGTTGTAGATGAAATAGAATGTCCAAAAATTTTCTTATGTTGATCTATTTAGGTCCAACACAAATTTCAACTCCTAATATAGCTTCCAAATAGAACTTCAATTAGAGTTTGCCAATAGACTTCGAATAGGATTCCAAAAGCACTCCAACTAGGAATCTTCTTAATGTACCCTTTAATTAGAACACTCAATTTTTTCATCAAAAAATTCTGGTCACATCCAAATTCTAACAAAATATTTTATATACAACTACCTTAGATGATTTCAAAGTGTTTAACCACTCTATTTAAGTATTGTCATCAACACACCATCACATATATGAGGATTTCATTTTTTTTACATCAAATCTTGGAGGTAGTTGAATTGATGTTCTCGCAGTCCACCCCAATGTGCAATTTTCCGTGTAGGATCCGTTGATGGGGGCCATTAAAAGTGTGTTTTAACAAACAATCATGCTACTTGTACAAAAAAAATTTAAAACTTACTTGATAGATAAACACATATGGCATAAAGTCATTGGCTTGTTTAAAAAAGAGAATAGTTTTTGACAATTTTCCCATAAATCAAAATTTGCCAATTGAGATTTGTCAAAGGGGGTAGCATTATTTTTCTGTACAAATGACATTACTCTATAACAAGGGTGTTTGTTTCCACTTGTACGATTAAGTTGATGCACGCAATTTTCATGTCTCGTTTTGAGAAATTTCCCCTTTTCTAAGCCCTTCTCTTTGTAATAATTCATAGTGATCCTCTGGTTCTTTTGTTAGGCTATGACACTGGTGTTGATATAGTAATTTTGAGTGGTACTGTACTGATTTGTCAAGTGTTCAATGCTTTCTAGTTGTGGTTAGGGCTTCCTAAGTGGTTACGCCTGCTTTTGAGAGATATTAGAAACAAAAAACGAGGGTTCTCAGTGGGATTCTAGCCGTAAATTTCGTTCTTGGTTCATTGTTGGTGACTATTAGTGTAAAGAGGCCAATCTACATCTGTAGAGCCTCAAAGGAAATGTAGAATCGGAATTTTTTCATTCCCATAAGTTTTTTAGTTTTTACAATGTATTCACCCCCCATTGATCTGGTCTAGCAATTAGCAAATTTCCTATGTCCAGTAAGTAGCATATTTTCAAGGTCGAAGTAAAAGAATCTCAATCAATTAGATTCATTCATTTGAAGAATTGAATCATATAACTATTGTCGTATCCACTCTTGACTATATTTTACGTGCAGTCGCCCCCCAAATCTTGTTAAGGCATCACACGCACAATCAAAATTGGATGCTATTTGATTGCATATTTATAGTGAATTAAGAAGATGTTGAAATATGCATGTAGTGGCATATTTTATTTATTTTCTTCATTTTATACTAGATATTGAGAAGATAACTCGTATAATCGGTTTATGGTTTTTTCAACGAAATGTTATGGGTAGAATTGAATTCGAATGTTGGTGTGAGATCGGGTTCTAGCTCGGCCAACAATTATGTGAACCAAATGGTTCCACTTATGAAATACCTAAAGTGTAACTAGTGGTTTCAAGTGTTGAAATATTTGGATCGACCCACTTGATACTCAGGGGGTGTTTGAATCATATTATTTTGGTAATAATGCATTATTGAATAGTGTATTGATGAGGAATGTATGGTTAAAAAATAAGGAAAAGTTTTTGATCTGTGTGTAATATTATTTTATTGAAGAATGTGTGGTTGAAATGATATCAAATCACTATTTAAAAATGTATTTTTTTGGAATAACGTGGCTCAAACAGGCCCTTAATCTTAATTTGGGAGTCATTTGGAGTGAATCGCCTTAACAATTGGGTTAGTAAATTACAAAGATATAGTAGAATAAATGAGGCTAGAGCCTATATCAATCTATATTAGATTCGCTTGTTCCAAATGATAATAGAGCACTTCACTCCTATGCATATATGTTCCAACTTTTTTGTATTATTATGAGAGTATATTTGGGAGGCTTATCGAGAAGATAGCTCCAAATGTGTTGACTTATATTAATTTGTTTTAAATGTAGATGGTTGGTTTGGATTAAAATCAAATTAAAATTTTAAGTTAAAGTTAATAATTAATTTTAATCAAATATTTTATGGGTTTCACAACTTTTCTACCATATAATATATCAATTTTTATCAAAATTTACTAAAAATCTTATTTTAATCTACATTAAATAGGGGCTACAATTAAGTTGCATTATTGCTTATCTTTGAAATAAATCATCCAAAACAACTAATTTCAGTCACCCCTTAGTGTTTTTTCACGACTGAAACAATTCTAAATATGAAGTATTTGTAGAATATTATATCACCGCGATGAATAAACCCTAGTTTAAACATAAACTGAGAGTACTTTCATTGCACAATATGCTAGATACACACACACAAATATATATACAGACACCTACACATACATGTATATAATTGCAATTCCACTACAATGATATTAAGTTCGACAGTTTTTTTCAAAAAGTGTGTGAGGTGGCACACTTTTTTACCATTGATTTCAACAACACTTAAAAATAATTATTGACACAGATTTTTACACCTCATACAATGTCAACCTTAATGTATAAATGAAATGTACAAATAGCATTTTCCATATATTTGATTGAACAGTTGGAACTTCCAACAAAACAGCCACAGACTCAACATTCGTATATATTCTTACAGGAATGACAGTAATTAATGGAAAATGCTCCTATGCTAGAAGAAGGCTTGACAGATGCATTGACACTCTCTCACAAGCGCCCAACCCCACACGAATAAACAATTGGAAGAAAGAAGTGGTCCCACCCCCAATGTGAGAGTAGGTCAGAGCTTCTGGCACCATTTTTCGAGTAGTGCAGCTCGGCCCTTAATATACTGGGCCATTACAGCAAAGCAAAACCACAAGACATATTCCCATTTTACTCTATCCAGAAAGCTGCTTTAAAAAAAATTATCAAGAAAAGAATTTCAGACTCACTCACAGGAAGTAACCATTATGAATCATCAACAACAGGCAATTTATTGACTGTTCAGATTTACAGGTAAGTAGGACCACCACAAACCATCACTATAAATTAGGTTGCTGCAGCCACCATTCAAGAATGACTCCACAGCCAGGGCTCACAGCAGCCACATGAAATGGCTGAAACTAAAAAATGTATGTAACTATGGGCTCTTAATCCCTTGGGTACAAAAATTAGTCCGATTTTTTTAAAAATTCATATTTTTTCAAAATTTATTTTCAAGCGCACGTTCTTTCATAAAATAATTTCATTTAATCACTCATTCTAAAAAATCACTATTCAAAAATATATTTTCCTAAAAAATGGCAAAATTAGGGGCTTAGTTTGATCATAAATGCAGTACTTTGATGTGGACATTTGAGTGATGTAGAACATGCCATCTTTGGATGAGAGAGTTCTTTTTTTTTTATTTTTTTTATTTTTTTATTTTTTCCTTTGGATGAGTGAGTTTTGCTTATTTAGCAGGTGGTCACGTCGAGTCTTGTCTTACGGCCGTATTAGCTTTGTTATTAATGAAAATATGCCACCTATATGTGGTGATGAAAGAAGGAAATTCAAAGTGATGTAAAACTAGAGAATCAAAATTGGCTTATTGTAACTCAAAAAAAATAAAAATAAAAAAATAAATAAAATAAAAATGTGGCCATTATCTCTCTCTTATGCACGTAGGTTTCCACTCGCTCAAAAGATTAAGAGTCCATTTGGTACACATTAATGTAAAAATAAGAATGAAAAATATAGTTGTTATGAACCCCATACAAGAGAAGGAAATTCAAATTTGGTGGCTTGATGTGATGGCTAACAATCCTATTTTTCATTTTAATGAATAAAAAATGGGAAACAAACGGGGGCTAAGATTTCAGATAAGATTATTCAACATATGATATTTGAACACTTACAAGTATCTTGAATTTCAACACTTTATATTTATGAAAATGTTGTGTACTTGACGAGCCCAGTCGCTTATGAAGCTTTTAAACAAGAGTAGTAAAATGTTATGATCTTGAATGAAGGTCTATCTAATATCTATATAAGGTGAGCAAGAAAATGAATTTTTCCATGAAAATTAAATTACTCGTAATTTCTTGAACCAAAAGTATAAATGACGGGTAATGTTTGAAAGATCAGCATAAAATTGAAATATAGCTTGAAGTCAATATCATTCTTCAAATACTATTTTAGAAGATTTCATTTAGGCCATTATAACAAATAGCAATATCCATACCATTCTTTCTATATTTCTCCAGAAACCCTACTTACTGCTTTAGTATACAAATAAAAAATGATGGATTGATCGATCTCTCCTCTCGAGCAACATATCGAAAGATTTATCTTCAAGAATCAGAAGTAGACATATAATTCACTGCAAGTTACCATCAACATATATGCATACATTTATAAAGAGATACACATAAATGTTCAAGAATTTAGTGAAAATAAAAAGAGGGTCTGAATTTATCTTGGTGAAATATGATCTAGAAGTGATGACTCGTTGTAACATGCTGATGATCAGGATCGCTTGAGTGTGCATCCAACGGTGCAGTACTACCTGAAATTGGCCTAAAAGCATTGAGTGCTGCAAGCATGCCCATATGGCCATCCACCACCGCACCACCACCAGCGCCCCCGAGTTGTTGCCCTGGCAAGAATGACATAGGTGGAGGAAAATTCATAAAATTTAATCCACCACCAGACATTGCACTTCCTAATGGCCAAAAAGAGCTACCACTAGTACTACTCATCACCTGGCTATTAGTATTTGTCACCATAAGAAATGCCGTCGCCGGAATATTCTGGCCTTGACTTGCCGGAATCGAACTTGTGCTTGATTGTAACATATAATTATGACTCCCCATTTGTGTCTGAAGTAGCGGTGGCAGTTCTTCCTCCGGTTGCCGTCTTCTTCCCATGCTCGTCTCTCCCTTAGCCATCGTCTCATTCTGGGACGATAATCCTATCTCAGGGAACAAAAATCTTCTCTGTGATTCCTCAATACACCTCAACTGAGAGCTAGCCGCGTAATTTTGATTGAAAAAACTGTTCCTTAACGGCGCCGACATGGTTGAGCCTGAACTCCTAACTGATATATTCAATGAAGTAAAATTCGCCGGAATGGTTCCAGTACCGGTGGCTGCAATCACCGCCGGCTCAGCCTGTTGAAGCAGCCATTCAACTGTTTCGCCATCAGATTTAAGGCCTAATTCTCTGGTAAGCTGAAAAACCCTAGCAGCACATGTTGCCGGCATACGGATCCGCCGTCCACGGCCCTCGACTTTGGTGTGCCTATCCTTGGTCGTGGTTCTTTTCGGCGGCGGCTTTTTGGGTGGTTCTGAACCGGACACGGTCCTCTTTGAGCTTGAACATCCTGCTTCTTCTTCTTCTTCTTCTCTTTTCCCAAGCAATTGCAATGGAAAATTAGGCCTGCGTTTAGAATTTCCATTACCAATATCACCATCCATGATCATATATAGTAACTAACAGTATATTTATCCTCTCTATATCTATATATGCAGATGACCCTGAATTCAGTGTTTTGTGGGTTTTTCTCTCTCTCTAATTATAAGTAATAAGTTGGACTCTTGAAGTTTCCTTTGAGATGGGAGCTGGCAATTGGATCTTTTTGATAATATCTTTTAGGAGAGAGAAAGAGATGAGTTGAGTGCAAGCTTTAAGCAACAAACATAATGAGTGGGGAATGGCTGGAGAAAGCAATCTTCTTTAAGAAAAATCTTTGCTTTTCTGAGGCTACTAAAGTAAAATTCCAGTTTCTGAATAATTATATTTGTGTGATAATGTTTATGTTTCCATGTCTAAACTTCCGTTCCCTATGGTATGATGTGTCACACCATTTTAGACCCTCCGAACTATAATCTATTCGTTCACCTTCTTCAAAGCTAGGAGGGCTTACATGATCGAGTAATGTCGACTCTGCACCAAGGGTCTCCATTAACTGATTTAGAAGTCAATTACAGACCTTTTTCAACTGAATTAATCTCATTGTATAGATGAAATGTACAGAAAACATTACAGATGTATAGAGAGCATTATTGATGTACAAGCGACAACATTGTATTAACTGATTGAATTGTATTTTTTGTCCAACATCCAATAAATCTCGAGAGCCGAACCATTTCTGCACGTGTAGCAGAATTGTTTTCAACCCATGGTGATTACTCTGGGTTCACACATTCGTCCAGATCTTCAGCACATGTTTAGATATTCATATTGTAGATCTACACAAACATTTCTTGATATTTTTTGTTTCTCTTTGACGTTAAATTATTAAAAAGAGTAACCCATTTATAATCATTTTATATAAGAGTTTTGCTATATGTATATTTCAATGAACACTCCTCCTCACATGAGGGAGGCCCATGAATTTTTTTATTGGATGTGGGTCCCTCTCTTGTGAGGTGAGTGTACATTGAAATGTACAAATAACATTTCTCTTTGTATAATGACAGTTTATAAAAAGTGAATTCATGGAGAATAAGTCGGTCAAATCTCCAACAGTTAAATTTTTTATTTTTTTTATATGAAATGATAGCTTAACGGTCCCTTGATCTAGACTCCACGTATGGTGCTTTTTATCTTTCTACCGATAAAGACAGTGGGATTAGATTAAGGCTAAAAGATTGGGGGACTTAATTTCTTGATTGAGAAAATGCTGAAACATATTGCGTAGGTAAACCCGGGGGGGGGGGGGGGGGGGGGGGGGAAAAAAAAAAAAATAAAAAATTTTAAAAAAATTTATAAGTGGCTTCACATCTTCGTTCAATCATTGCCTCTTTAGCCTTTCTTAGATTAACATGCAAATAGTTGATAATTGGGATTACTTACTTGAACCAATCACTTCATCTGAAAATTTTAAATAATTACATATTTAGAGGATATTTAATTACAATAATGTAAAGGTTTTAACTAACTACACCTCATATGATACCATATTCGTACAAGTTCAAATGAGCAACTCGATACATTCAAGTTTCAAAATTAACGTTCTTAACTAAACTACATTCATTGAAAAGTAAAAATTTCATATTGATTAAATATAAAGTTGGACAGTCCTCTCGAGACTCAATAAATCTTAATACAATATTTATTTTTGTATTTTGAAAACGTTTTTGCATAGATTAAACAATATATAGCACCTAAGTGAGCTTGATTAGATTTTTGTATCTTGAAGACATTTTTGCATTGATTTAACAGTACATAGCACCTAATTGAATTGACGGGGTGCGAGAATAGTTGAAGCCATTACCAATCGAAAAAGATGTTATCCTTGCATTTAAGTAATTGTAGTAAAACTTGATTTTGATTAGGCCATCTCTAACCCTGTACCAAATTTGATATAAGTTTTGCACCATTTTACATCAAATTTTACACCAAACCAAAAATCATCTTCAACCGTTACACCAAAACTTATACCAAGGCCCCGTTTGGTACACATTAATGTAAAAATGAGAATGAAAAATATAGTCGTTACGGGCCCACACAAGAGATAGAAAGTCAAATATGGTGGCTTGATGTGATGTATAACGGTCATATTTTTCATTTTAATGAACAAATAATGGGAATCTAACGGGGGCCAAATGAAAAGTGTTTAATCATTTTTCTCTCTTTTTTATTCTCAATAATTTATTTATTTGAAAAATTATTTCTTTGTTTATTTTACAAATACATAAATTACTAAATAAATAATTACATTAATTTAACGAAAATATTAATTCATTAATAAATAAAAAAATTCATTTTTTATATTGTTAATATTTATTTTATTATCATTATTAATCATGATGAGAATTATAATAATACAAATTTATTGTATTAAAATAAATCACGCAAATGACACAAATACCCTCTGCCAATTAGTTTGGCAAATAAAAGAAAAGGGTAAATTTGACTTTGCATCATGTTGCACCAGAATAGTGCAAACTATTGTATTTTGGTGATTTGGTACATCCATTGGAGATAACCTTAGACTACTAAGCCTCCGTTTGGCTTCCATTTTACGGAAATAAAAATGGTGGAATAATATTTTTTTGAAAAATGAGTGGTTGAAATTTTTTTTTGATTTACGTATAATATTATTTTATGACAAATTGTATGATTAAAAATAAAAAGTGAAAAATGAAATGTAATAAAATATAATTTAATGGGGATCGCGGGGCTAAAATGTTATTTGCAAATTTGATTTGTCCTAAACAATGATTAAATTGTACTTAGTCACGTCGAAACGTAGCTACGCCTAGAAATTAGCGTGAGAAATTGTACTTTGAAGAAACACAATCAAAGTACAGCCACCTTAACCAACGACAAAATCATGTTCTGTCATAACCCTTAGGACATTTGAATCTAATTCTTCATGAAAACCCAAAATGTACTTACAAACTATTTATGCATGATTACATATGGATTTGATCTCTTGTCCACTGATCAATTCTGTGTATATCTGGTATTAAGCATTATTTTCAAAAATACTAAGGGTCCATTTGATTACAAAGTTGAAATTTGGGTGGAAAGAAAACGAATTTCAGGGAATTGAATTGTTTGAAAATTATTTTCCTAAGAATTGTAAATTATTGTGTTTGATTAGTATAATTTTTCACGTGAAAATTGTTGAAATAAAAGTATTTTTTATATTCGTTTGACTTTAATTTATATGAAAATTGTTAATTAAAAGGATGAAATTTACTGTATTGGGGATGAAATTTATTTTCATTGCCAAAAAATAATAATAATCATCTATCTTTTGATATTCGTTTGACTTTATTTTACATGAAAATTGTTAATTAAAGAGAAATATTTTTTTACAATAATTCTTAGCATTTGTTTCTATTATCCACAAAAAAAAAAAAAAAAGTCAACAGTAATCGGGAAAATCAATTCCCACCATATGAAAATCAAGAATTTAATTTTCATGGAAAATAAAGTCTATCAAACACCATAAAAACCTCTATCAAACATGGCCTAAGATAGACCATAAGAGGGAGTTTGAGCCAAAATTTATGAAAAAAATGCATTTTAAAAAAGTAGAATGATGGAAAATGTATGGTTGAAAAATAAGGAAAAATTTTAAATTTAAGTGTAATATTATTTCAATGAATAATGTGTGATTGAAAAGAAAAAAGAGAAAAATATATTTTTGAAAGAATGAGAATCCAACAAAGCCTAAATATTTTCTAGTCGCTTGGTTCAATTCATTATTGTTATATCTAATATATCCAAAACAATGTAACGGGGGGTTAAGGTTAAATCTCATAGTACGTAAATACGTAAAGTTACTATCGACATATACTTAGGTTTTGGGCTACTCACGTAATAATATTAATATTTTAAGATGAAACTCTAATACTCAGCTCTTGTTTGGTATAAATTAAAATTAAAATTTTAATCTAAATCAAATTCAACAAATAATTTCAACTATACATTTTATGGAATCTACAACTTGTCAATCATACATTTCAATAATTTTTATCAAAATCTATTAAAAATTTGATTTTAATTCTCCCCAAACGGGGCTCAATATAATATAACAACTAAAAAGCTAGATTGGCAACCAATCCGTACTAAAACTCAATAGGGTTATCACAATCCAAGGGTACCATTTAATTTCTCTGCATGGAAGGTCACGAGTCACAACATATGACCCACCCCTAAATTTGTATTTCTCCATGCCAATCAATTTCAATACAATGACTAAATTCAAAAAATTATAAGTTAATTTTAGTTACTTTTCCTTCAATTTATATTATAAAACATCTTACGTTTACAATTTAAATTTATCGGTTTCATTATCAAAATTATTAACATTTCTACTTTTTTCTAAAAAAAATTATATTTCACTTAAAATAAATTCTTGTCTCTTGTACGTATTCTCAAAAACCCTAATTCACTCTCTTCAAACCGAAAAATATTAAATTTTTATGAAAAAATGAAACCATAATATAGTTGATCGACATGGCAAGATTTAAACGAATTTTTCATATCATGAAGTATGGGCCAAAGAATTAATCAATTAGGTCACCTCAACTGCTTGTGATGCAGATGGCTTACCATCTAACTTATTATTAAGCTTATCATTCAAATAATTTTGTCGGGAAGTTTATAATTCTTCAATCCAAAATAATTCAATTTACTGCCGTCAATTCTTTCTATGTTAAGTTCGAGACTTTTGAAAACACATAATTTTTTTAAATTTTTTAAGAAATAAGATTAAGCACATGAATCAAGAAGATTTACAAAATATGTCCTCGAAGTGTATGCGGCTAAAATAGAAACCTTTTTGATAAAACGTCTGCAAATAACTATATTAAACCCCTGTTTGGTTCTCATTCTTTTTTCATTAAAATGAAAAATACGACCGTTATCCATTACATCAAGCCACCAAATTTGAATTTATATATCTTGTGTGGGGCTCGTAACGGCTATATTTTTTATTCTCATTCTTCCAAAAATAAGAAACAAACGGGGGCTAAATTTGACTTTCTTTAGTTCAACCAGGTCTAGAGCTGTGGAATTATACGCCTATCAAGATTCAGAAAAAGAAATTTTTCAATAACTTACTCAAACTCCATCTGAAATTGTACTTAATCGTAGATTTATCTTGAAAATTTTATCTTAGTTTAGAAAATTTTCAAGTACAAGCGACCATTTGTACTAAACAAATAAAGGTAATTAAATCTATACAAACAATTTGGTTTTGGAATACTTCATGGATTTGTGTACACTTTTAGCTCAAGTCC